CTCGAACCAGCTCAAGTACCAGCTTGCACAGCTGCAGTGCCAGCTCGAACCAGCTTGAACCAGCTTGACCAGCTTGAACCAGATTTAGTACCAGCTCGAACCAGCTCAAGTACCGCCCTGCCCAGCTGCAGTGCCAGCTCGAACCAGCTTGAGCCAGCTTGACCAGCTCGAACCAGCTTAATTACCACCTAGACCAGCTCGAACCAGCTTAAAAACCAGCTTGACCAGCTTGATTTTCTTGCTGTTTTTTCGACAGCTGAACACGTGTTCAGCTGTAGATCGTATATTTAGTCGCTGCAGCACCACTGCCATTTTGTGTTCCTTAAGACGCACCACGCATTAGGGATACACGACCCTGTGCCTGTACGATGCTCATCTATCGAAACGGACAGGGTGTTTACTGAACAATGGGTCCCTGGGATCTCCAGAGCGAGCTTTCGCTCTACAAGCTCCGAGCTTCGGTGCGTCAACACTCGGCCACCGATTCCTCTCCGCAAAAAAATACGTTTTTTTCTTTTGTCAATCGCTATACGTTTGATTTTATACGATTTATGATTTTCTGAATGTATGATCCGAGAGCTTTCGATGACGCATGTCCGTGCATAGCACGACCACCAGCAAGCGGATATCGCTTTTAAACCTTGTCACAGTCGCAAGTGCCTGCGTGAAACGCGAGGATGTTTCGACAATAGCCGGCCCGGAACTCTGAATTTGTTAAGTGGTGGATTAAATCCAGATGTAAGACAGTATTTTCTTCGCTTACCTGGCCAACTATGCAACGTTGCGGTCGCCCAGCACTTTTGATCTCGCTTGCTGAACCCAGCCGCTCAAGGGAAAGTTGTGGTCCTCCATCGATTTGAAGGTTTTGAACTGCTCGCGCGTTGCGAAGCTCGTGCCATTTACCAAATAGTCTCTCACGTCTGCAAAATTATACCTTGGGCTACAGATCAGCGTCGCTGGACAGTTCGTCTTCCACCAACGCCAGCGGGTGAACGTCTTCACTGCGTTGGACTTTCCCTGCGTAACGAAGAGCCTCCGGTCCGCGCAGAGACTGCGTGTACGCGCTCACGCGCATGGAGCTAAGTGGCTAAACTAGCCACGCGAAACCATGGCCTAATCGCACTTGAAAAAAATAAACTTGCGCGGCGTAGGTGTTTGAGGAAAATCGGTGTGGCCCGTCGGAAAAAAAAAGCGGCTGCTACAGTAACCGTCAAAATGGCGGACAGGATAAGGTTGCCAGCCACATAGCGTTTGACGCATAGCATGTATAGGGGGCTATATTACCCATGCGACTTTGGCCGGTGTATCGATGGAACCTTTTAATATAAATCGGCTGAGGGCATTTTTTATTAAAACATATAATCAATCCCTTCTTCAGATCGCTGGTTCTAACTTAGATCTTCGTGGTATAAAAATGTCTAATGCGCCAGGTATGTACGCTAAAAGGTGAAACCTTATTCGCCACAGTAACGCGGGGTTGTCAGGATGGCAAAATTTAATCCCTCGCCTCGAAGTTTAAGTTACAAAGGGGTGAAGTCTTCGCCCACCATCGCCAACACAAGCAAGCTGCTACGACGAAAATTCAGGTGAGCCAAGTCGCTTCGATCGCAGAGCTACCACGCCAACTTTCTACATGCTGAAAACATTAGCGGTGCCTGTACCTCGCCCTACTCGGTCGTCTACTAGTACACTTTAGTACCGTGCCATGTGCCAGCTCGACGCACAACGCTCGGGATTCAGCAGGAAAGTATTGGACTCAAAATGGGCTGCCTTGATTTTTATTCACTACGTTTCAAACCTGCGACGATGTGTTGGCGTGAGCGAGCTCCCAGAGGCTTGACCTTCTGCGGGGAAACGATGGAGGAACTGCGGTCCTAATGAACATTGACAAACGCACAATGTCTGGTTCACGAGGTAGCATACACGTTTCGCTCAGAGCGTCCTGGGAAACACGCTGAAGGCTGATTCACACAGTTGAGATGGGCCGACCGAGTGCGAGGGTTGCTATGGCAACAGCTCCGTCGACTCCAACAAAACGGTGTAAAAACCGGTTTTGTTGGAGCCCACGCAGCTGTTGGCGGAACAACCCTCGCATTAAATCGGACTCCGTACAAGTGTGTGAATCGTCCTTGATACGACAGTAACAACAGAGTCACCCGGTCAACAGCTCCATCGCGCCAACTTTCGACATCACGTAATCACAGAACCCAGGCATCACGTAATCACAGGGCAGGTTATTGCCATTTTAGATTCTATTGTGTCCTTCTCCCCAGCACTGACCTTTATGGAAGCTCATCAACGCCCGTTTCACCGGCTCGGTATCTGGGTAAGGCTAGAGAAGGTCAGCAATGGCGGCTGTAATCTGGCGCGTGTGCAAAGCGTCTAGCCCCAGAGCACTTGGTCGCCACCATTTCTATGCTGGTGTGGGCAAACACATTCAAGGCTCGTTTCACGAGTAAGATGCATGCGCTTGCACGCCTGGGGTGCCGCCAACCTGGATTACCCCTCGCTGCATAAACATACAAAACGTCTAATTCGTTTTTGTTTTTTGTCTTTTCTAGACAAATTAGCCTGCATTTTTTTTTTTACATTGTAGAGCACTCGGTATCTTTATGTTTTAGTGTGCTTGTGTCACATTGAACAATATCTACATCGTAAAAATGGATCCCCCCAAAAATAGAAAAAAATTGGTGTGTGTACGTTTATACAGCCGGAAGTAGTCTTGTTTTAGTGGGCGTCTAGTGCTTCAGCTGTAGAAAAAGAAATTGGGTTGTGTTTATGCTTATACAGCCCAGAACTTATACCCTATTCACACGAGCATAAAGGTCCCTTTAGCTAAGGGGCCTTTATGGCGAAAGGCGAATCAGTTCGCGATCCTCCGCGCGTGGCATAGGCTCGCGATCTACTAGCGCGGGCTGATTCGCTGGCTGCAAAGGGACCTATGTTAAAGGTACCTTTATGCTGGTCGTGTGAATGGGGTATTAGTCTGCCTCAACGGGCGACTTGTCTCTCAGCTGTCGATGAGCAATTTAGCCAGTGCAGTACAACCGCTAGCCCGGGGTCTTTAACGTGCACCACAGAGTGGTGATACACGACCGCACACCGATACGATGCTCATCCAGATCGAAACGGGCAGGGGGGCGGGGGGTATCGAACCTAGGATCCCTGGCTCTGCAGCACGAGCTTTCGCTCCCTGTGCTCCTCTCACGTTCACAAATATCCGCGCTTGCAATTTGCCACGCTCCAGTCCCGGCTTTGCATCCCTTATCTACGCGAGGTAGAAGCGTTCGAGCCGTCACAATCTGGCGTAAACAAGCGACGCATCCTAGCAGATCCAACTCGACCAACAGCCGATCGGCCGGTCTGGACCGGCCGGTCGGCAGGTCCAGACCGGCAACCTCGTCACGCATGCGCACCACCGACTTGAAGAAAATGACGTACGCGCTTCTGTCAACTTCCGCCAAGATCTCCGAACTCCCGCGGATCAAGTCAACACCCCCTAGACAGTAGGCCTCCGAATGGTCTCCTCTCCCTCTATGAAACGTCATCAGAGTCGGATCGCGCTAACTCGGCTATTGGGCCCGAGTCCGACCTTCGACACGCTGATTGGTTACGAGCAGCAGCCGAACAATGACGCAGCACTCGGGCCCAATCTCACGCCTCGATCGATTTGACTGGATGACGCGTGCGGAGGCCTTGTGTCTAGGTGATCAAGTTCGGAAAGGAGCTTTGCTCGGTAGGTGATGATGGCGATTAAGAGGATAAGCGTCTGCGGGTCAAGGAGGGTAAAACATACGAATGGAGTGCTCAGAGAACTAGAAAGAAACTCTGTAACAGGCTGAGCTAATTGGTTCATACTTCTGATAAGGCCAGCTGAGCTGTGTGTGTATTTCTTCCAGTTCAGTTGACCTTATCTGAAATTCTTTATTACCTGGCACATTATGCTGCTGCTGTAGACAAAATTCTCATATTGTTTGCAAGAGCAAATAAAATAAGTCTTGTCTAGTGGAGAACGAAAGACAAACCCATAGAAGAACGTTTTATCCGTGGACCTGGAAATATTCGGGTAAACGAGGCTTAAAATAAAATCGGAATAAACAAAGCTGCACAAAAATAATTGGAGTTGTGTGGATATTTATACAGCGTGTAGTTGGTCAGCCATTTCGAAGTTGCGATGAGTCACTCGCTGTAGGTGAGCAATTTAGCGAGTGCAGTACAATCGCTAGCCTGGGGTCCCTAACGTGCGCCACACAGTAGCGATACACGACCGCACACCGGTACGATGCTTATCCAGAACGAAACAAGCAGGGGTGGGGAACAAAGCTGCACATTTACTCGAATAGCAAACACATAACTGAAACCTGAGACCACGGAAGAAGACGCATAAAGAAAGACACACACACACACCGTTTGTGATGTGCGTTGTTGTGTGCGTGTGTGCAAGAGCGTGTGTAGTCTGTATATTACGTTCTTTTTGCGTCCCTTCTATTCCAGTAGTGTTAGCTTTTAGTTATGTCTGACATTCGCCAACTCGCCGCCCGTATTCACTACTTTTGCATCGAGTCATACGCTTCACGATTGAGGCATTGGCCGTATATTTGTCAAGAGTGGGGCCAACGTACCCTAAGAAAAAGTAAAAAAAAAATAAAGTAAAAATAATTAAAAGCAATGATTATGGAAGCTGTATACACTCTGCGATTAGCTGATGCTGCGGTGTGCACCGTGTGTGTGCTGTTGATTGTTCAGGCTTGCTCCCACGTGAAGATTATCTCACTTCAGGCAACCCAAGCATATTCAAGTACCACCGAAAAGCCATACATGTTTGTTTCTCTGCCGTTATCTTGTTCGGCTTATTCGAGTGCGTAATCTACGGTAAGAGCAAAACATCACTAAAGGCAAAAAAACTGCTCAGCAGAGACATTTGATACGGATTGTTTATGCTCACGCGCCTTTATTAGGAGCCCCTTCGATTGAGGCCAGTTTACTGGAGGATAGAGAATTGGTGGGCTCCATTCAGGCGTTCCTCAACGGTGTGGAGCACTGAGTTTCGACTGAGTACTGATCGTGATAGTGCCTGGGAAATCAACGTGCCGTGTGGTAAGCGCCAGCCAAATTTCTTAAAATCTGTTTCATCAAAAGTTTAAAAAAGCGATAGAGTCAACCTTGCGACATTGCTTAAAAAGACAGAGAAAAAAAAGTGTTACTCGGTTTTGACGAGGTGAACTATTTCAGAAATTGTTTGTGATGTCTCCGAAAATTATCGCAACATCGATGAAGAAAACAATTTTTTTCGGAATCGCCCCTGCAAGTTGGGAAGTTCGCTTACTAACAATTCATCGATCGGGTGTTGTGACGTGAGTGGTTGACGGTCGCTTGCCTCTGAACAGCAAATGTTAAGGAGCTAAAAATTGTGTCGCTTGTGTGTTTAGATAGCCTTGATGCGGGTACGCCTCAACGGGTGACTTGTCTCCTAGCTGTAGATGAGCAATTTAGCCAGCGCAGTACAACCGCTAACCTGGGGTCTTTAAAAAGATATAACAACAAAATTTCGGCGCTTATTTCTTGTTGTATTCGTGTTCAAGGGGGCTAGTATCACATCACACACACCAATCTCTTATTGAAATAGACACGAAAAAGAACCTTAAATCGAATTGAACGATTAGTGAAGAACACCATATAAATGTCGCTAACGCCTCGTTTGTGATGCCCGTCTAGGAACCTTGACAGGTAGTGACGATAACTGTCTCGCCTCCGGCCACCACGAGAGAAGAGGGTAAGGAGGAGCTCCCCTCTCCCTAAGACTCTCTTTTGTGCGTCCCAGACGTTGCTATTGTCCTTTTAAAAGATCATAGAAGATTAACCCGTCAGTTAAAATTTGTACAAAAGCAGCTTGGGGTTTGTTGCGGTGGCCCGATCGCTGGCGTTCTTCGGCCGCTTCGGTGGCTGGAACGGCTAGAATTTCCTCTCGACGTCAGCCTCGCCACAGCTTTGCTCGTCCCGAGACAATCTATGTCACGATTGCGGCGGATGGCACGTGCTCTCCGCTGGTTGCTCTCCGAGGGCTTGCCAGAATGAGCCGTTTATTACAAAAAACAACAACAAAAAAACAAAAAACACAGTCATCAGGCTCAAAATACAAACGTGCAATTGTCATTTACGGATATTGTGGGTCATACTCAGCCTATTCCTGAACACGACGGGTACATTTCGAATTTCGTTGAAGTATCCCTTTAACGTGCAACACAAAGCAGGGATTACGCGAACGCGTGCCGATACGAAACTCATTCAGATTTCGATCTGTATGAGTTTCGAACAGGGGGTGGGGGGTCGAACCGAGGAGGTTTGCAGCGCAAACTTTCGCTCTACGCTCCGAGCTGAGCCGCGTTAACCCACTCGGCCACAGATCCCCTCAAAGATAAACAGGACATCGCGGAAATCTCAAACTCCGCCAGAACGTAGCCCCAGCTGTTCGAGCAACATGCCAAAGTTTCATCACCAACCGTTATCTAATTAAAAAGTTATAAGCGATTTTTTCTAAACATTTGAACGGAAAAATGTCGGCCGACGAAGCTCTCAAACACATAGAGCTCTATGGCGCCAGAAAACGAAAGCGGGCGAAATGGGGGCATATTTTTCTATTGAAAATTTCAGAAAATCAGTTTTAACTTTTTAATAAGATAACGGTTGGTGCTGTAACTCTTGCATCTTGCTCGAACGGCTGGGGCTATGTTCTGGCGGAGTTTGAGCTCTTCGCGATGTCCAGTTTATTTTATCGGTGCGAAAACCAGGGTTCGGTTTTCTCGTGGACGCCCGGTACTTCGTTTCTCCTTCAGTCCCAACGCAGCCGACACTACGAGCTGACGGGACCAATCAGACAGCGTCAAAAGCCTACCACCATGGTGCTCGTCATGTTTCTGTATGTGGTCTATCATCGCTGCAAACAACCATAAACAAAAAAGGCTCAGTGATTCGCGCTTTTGACACTGCTTGATTTGTCCGATTAGCTCGTAGCGTCGGCTGCGTCTGGACTTAAGCTGAAACGAAGTGCCTTGTTACATATAATACGACTAGCATGAACGTCTATCCGCCAGAACCGATAAAGGCATTGAATCATGCCGGAGGTCGCGTACTAGACCGCCGAGCAGCCAAGAGAAATGGGATGGGAAGTTGTGCAAATTACTTAGGAAACCAAAATATTTAGTGACTATTTAATGATGTCTGCCTTAGAATTCACCGGACCTTGTCATAACTGTCTTTGTAGGTGCTCCAGTCCATTGATCGACGATGCGGCGTTTTCTCGTGGTGTGCTTCCTTGTCGTGGCAGCGACTGCTGTCGGCGAGAATGAGGACTTGGATGTTGAGTGGGAGACATTCAAAGCAAATTACGGTAACGTTCATGTTGAACACCTTGATCAGTATGCTGAGTAGTTCCTGCTAAGATACTGCTCGTAGCAGAGGGTACGCATATGTTTCGTAGTTATGCCATCGTGTTCAAACTGCCACGAGCTGACGATTCCCTTAAAGAAAACATTAGCTCTTAAAAAAAAGGGTGCTCTGATGTTTTTCTGAAATTAAAATATCAGATTGCTTAAAAATGCAGATAAGAGAAACAAAATCAGTGCACAAAACAATATTGTTTTGCATTTGTACAATTACCTTACATCACTTCTTATAGATGACACTAACTATGGTATTGTTTTTTTTTTTCCCATTTCCAGGAAAGTCATACTCGTCCGAGGCTGAAGAGCAATTCAGAATGACGGTGTATATGAACAACAAACTGAAGGTTGCCAAGCACAACGAGCAATACGCGGAAGGCAAAGTTTCTTTTCAACTCGCAATGAACAAGTTTAGCGATCTGGTGAGTTACACACCAAACTACCACAAAACAAAATTGCGGTTATTATTGGTCTATTGTATGCCAGATTCAAGTTCCCGTTCCTTGGGATAGTCTCCAGCTGAGAGACTCTAACTTTTTCATTTCAGGTAGTTTTGGTTCCCTTTGTGACATTGGGTATTTCTCCTTATTTGAACATTTCTACTTTTCCAAACACCAACATGGAAAGCTGTTTCTACATCAATTTGCATGCACAAACGCGTCAACGTCACTCGTGCACATAACTTAAAAGCATTACGGGGAAAAAGCGGATAATTTGCGCACAATGAAAACTTCGAGCTTACGATCCTTCTGGTATATTGATTATACAATATTTGCTTGCTAAAAGCTTTCAGTCGAGCATCGAATGGAATCAATTTTCAACTCTCAAAAATTTTCATCACTAGAATCGTTCAACATATATATGTACATATCTTACCTTTGCAGTTGCACGAAGAGTTCGTCCGTTCCCGCAACGGCTTCAGAAGAATCAGGCCTGTAAAGCAGGCCTCTACCTACATGGAGCCAGCGAACATCGGAGACGTCTGCTTCCCGCAAACGGTGGACTGGAGGAAGAAGGGCGCTGTCACACCGGTCAAGAACCAGGAGCAATGCGGATCTTGCTGGGCTTTTAGTGCGGTGAGTCATGGTGCCACGTACACATATGCCTGTTCACATCACAGAATGCGTGATGTCTTTACGAAAAGATCGAATGCGTTATTTGGATTGGTCACAAGCGCACTGCTAGTGACCCTTCGAAAAGCCTAACTTCATGAGTGCCCATTCAAATCACTCAAGCTTCTCAAAACTGCGCGAAAATTAGCGCGAGTTGGTTGCTGACTAAAGTTTTATCAAACACCCTTCCTTCACACTGATTGCATTGTATATCATCAAGGCACTGGGAGCGGTTTGATGTTTTGACGTTTCAAGGCGGGTGATAAGGATGAAGTTTTTCTTTCTAAGGGCGCACGACGAATTTTGTAGTGAGTGGATAACCTATCAGTGTTATCAATGAAGCTATGCGGCGAGCAGTTGAGAGGGAGGAAGAGATGAAGCGCAGTGAGAGAGAGTAATCACGTGTGCGACGAATGCTCTGTCCTCGCAGATTCACCTCGGTCTGGGGCAGACGACATCATGCATGGTCGTGATTTCCTCGTTCGTTGGAACGCGTCGGATAGTTAGTCGACAGAAACAAGGTTCTCTTCAAGATATTTCCTCACCCATTTTTCGAAGGCTAAGCTCTGAATTGTAAAGAATCGGTGGATTTTCGAGAACCAGAAAGAAAGTTAAAACAGCCATTACTACGACTAGCAGACGACGTCGGGATTTGGCGCTGAACGCCAGACCCTGAAGCCACAGCTCCTTCTGAACGAGGAGCGGACGACGGCCTTGCTTGCTCTGATTAGAGGGAGATGGCGGGTAGAAACAAAAGCAGTTAGTGTTTTTTTGTTTACCCACTATCCTCCCAGTCAGAGCTCACCAGAACCATAAGCACCAGAACGTGAAACTAAAACTGCTTTTCGTTCGTATTTTTTGGCAGACGGGATCGTTGGAAGGGCAGCATTTCCTCAGGACGGGAAAGCTCGTCCCTCTGAGTGAACAAAACCTTGTCGACTGTTCTGATGACTTCGGGAACCTCGGCTGCAGTGGTGGTGTAATGGACGACGCCTTCCGGTACATCAAGGCCAATGGAGGCATCGACACCGAGAAGAGCTATCCCTACACTGGCGAGGTAAGTGATATTAACGAGAAGTGTTCACTCTAAAAAAAAAGGTGCCATGCATGGGGTACACACGTAGTGCTTGTCCCATATACTACGCCCTTTAGGGGAATACTTGTACACCCCAAATATGGGAGTATGTGTACTCCCGTTGGTGTGGTGCGCATGTACACCTTTTTCTACGAAAATCTCACTCGAAGGCAACACAGGTGCAACCCATTTAATGGTGTACAGCTACACCTCTTTCTACACCGAATGAAATGAAAAGAAAAACAAACGCACCCCATTCGAAGGTGTACTATTGCATTGGTTCATAAACCCGCCTCACTCAAAGGGAACACAGATGCACCTCACTCCATAATGTACCATTACTCACCTTTTTACACCAACTGCTCTCAAAGGGAACACAGGAGCACCCCGTTCAATAGTGTACGGGTACACCTCTTTCTACACCCACTGAATTCGGAGAGGCCACAGATGCACCCGATTCAAAGGTGCATGGTCTCACCACTTTATGCACCCGCTTCATAACTAACTTCATAAACCTATTTAAGACATAAGGAAACCCTTAAAAAAATGTATACGCCCCGGTGATTGGAAAAAGGAAGGTAAACGGACACACGGGATTGTTTTCAAATCTCATAAAAGTTTATTAGAAGCCTATTCCGTAAACAAGTACGAACTTGCAAGCAATCCGTGATATGTGAAGAGGTACGAAGAGGCTGTTACACAACTGAGAATATTGCTAAGCAAACAAAAACCGGGGGTGAGCCTTAGGTAGTGTCGATTCTCCCAGCAGCCGGCAGAATTGTCCACAGGCAGTCGCCATTCATTCATCGAACGACGTTTCATCGACAGCTCCGGAGGGACAGGTGGATTAACATTTTTGTAATGAGCCGCCGCAGACTGTCGCTACGAAGCGGCGTGAAGGGGTGGGCTGGGTCGGTGAGCACGCGCCTCAGAGGTACACGCCCGACAAAATGTCCCTACAGCGTGCATTTCGTGTAACGAGTGACGATGAAACGTGAGTGTCAATGAAACGTGTCTACAAAACATGTACCAACGAAAACGTGTTTTCACAAAACGCCGGGAGAATAAGAAAGTCAGTATTGTACCTGCAGTTGTCACATAATTGTAGACAGCTAATGGCAGGCGACTGCCGATAGAATTTCGGGGAAATTATTCTCCCGCCTGCTAGAAAATAGACACTGCCTGATTCTAAAAGTAATTCCGAACGGAACGGTCAATTGTTGCAAAAGAGTGGGTCCAAGTGCACTTAAAATGAAAATACCGGACTTGAAATATGTAATCCTATATATACTTCGACACGGGCACTGCAGAACCACACAAAAACGAAAAGAAAGGGGTCCGTGAGGATTCAACACGATGCGGCAGACGCAGTAATTTGCCGAGGCGAACACTAAACGTATCACATGAATTCCTTGTTTTTTTTTGTTTTTTTTTTGAAGAAATCGCTTGTTGTTGATATACGCGTAGGACTTTTCAAACACTGGGAATCTTGGTACCCTCGAATACGTTGTCGCAGACGAAATCTACGGCAGCCCCGCTGGTCGCAGCCCAACACACAAGAAACTAGGCTGGGAAGCAGACATTCCGAGGTCGGAAAAAGCTACTATGTCATCCGTGAAACCTTTACCAGATGATCACGCGACTGCCGTTACCCGCGCCCAGACATTGAAGTCGAGGGATAAAACAGCCTCCTGTTCATTGGTCCGGCGACTGCGCACCTTCTTCCACGCTTTCAGCCTAGGGAGAGAAAGGAAAAGAGTGGAGTAGGAAAATAGCAGCTTCTTCAAGGCCAAAAGGGGGGCAACACAGCAATGAACACAATGAAAGGATTTGTCACTTATATCCTCTTGAAAGTTCGACCCGAAGTTAACAGTGCAGTGGACGCTATCCGTGGCCTTGGCCTTCAGGTAGGTGCCGTGCTCTGTCTTATCTCTAGCTTGGAGACTGTAATCGCGTGATCCTGCCCGGAAACCCGATTGGCCTAAAACAAGCATAGCGTCCACTCTGCTGTCACTACCGAGTGAAGAGGAGTGCTCCCTACTTTGTAATGGCGAATTCGGGTGGTCAATCGCCGGCGAGCTCACGCCGGCGGCACAGGCAACGAAAACCGTGCCAGCGGCGCACCACGTGACCCTCTCCACCCGAACACAAAGCGCCTGCAACTGGCGTTTTCGTCTGCCTGGGTCGCGCGTGAACTTCGTTAACTTCTTCCTCGATTATTTTATGATATAATAGGCACGCTGTAGGCATCAGCAACATATATTCGGACTCTGAGATGTGGGTAAACAAATTATAATATATTTTGTTTAGATTCTCGAAGAACTGTTGCCATCTTACAAGGATGCCAGAAGGCTCACCAGCGTCGCCATTTTATATTCCATTTTCTTGTTATTACCTTTTTTCTGGAATCATCAGCATTTTGATTTGACCCAGCCCTTTAAAATAGTAATGCGCGTTCAAGTGTCGAGCTGCAGCACTATCAATACATTTTTTTACAGCGGCGTAATAACACGCTGTGTCCTATAGGAAACTAATCTTCTGGAAGCTTCCTTTAAAATATTTTATCTTTATCTTCGTTGCTTTTGCTGTCTTTTCTCGGACCACAGAGGGGTGTCTGTCTCAATGGCTTCGTTTTATACTCGAACCCGCTATCGGCGACCATTGTTTCGTTTGGTTCCCTTTCCCGATTCGGATATGACGATACCAGATACAGTCTGGCAGGCAAGCTGCCCGACCTCTTGGAGCTCGGGCAAAAATTGTGCCGGTAAATTGCCAGCACACGCCTGAGAAGTGCCACCCGAACGGCGCGCACTCGCCAGCCTTTGACCACGCGAACGCCCTTGGCGGAGATATGGCAAAATATTTTGCCGGGAAATGACCACGCGATTTCGCCATAAGAAACTGCTCAACCCAAAAAGTGACCCCCAAGGGGGAATCCAAGCACAAGCTGATCGGGGCGCGTGGCTAGCGTGGTGGTGCACTGATACACCTAGAGGTTTTTAAGGGAGAGGAGGATGCTCATTGTCGGTGTACAAGTACACTGGCTGGGTAACGGAGGGTGCATCTTTCAGGAAAAGGGTGCATGCGCGCCTGATGCACCCAACTACACCCTTTTTTTCTTAGAAATGTGAAAATTTTTCTTTAATTGGACGTTCATGAAATTAGCAATGTCGAAATGTTCCCGTCTGAAGTCAACAGAAGGCATTCGAGCGCTTACATGCTGACACTTTTAGACAGTATGAGTGATACAATTGACAATGGCTTCACACGCAGGATGGTCAATGCGTCTTCGACAAGTCCAACGTTGGCGCTACCGACACTGGCTTTGTGGACGTCCAGACAGGCGACGAGACGCAGCTCATGAAGGCTGTGGCTTCGGTCGGCCCAATATCGGTCGCCATCGACGCGAGTCACCTATCTTTCCAGTTTTACGCTCAAGGTTCGAACCGAATGTATTTCTAAGGTATTTAAGTTATCGTGGTCTATTTTTGACAAAATCGACGACAAAAACGATATATATATATATATATATTTTTTTTTTTTTTTTGCTGTATTTTGAACTTTTGTCGATTTCGGCGCGCTGGACTCAGAACCGAGTTCACTCTGTTTCATATTATGATTGTTTCTTGACTTGAACAAGGTGATGTACAACCTCCAACAATGTGAAAGAGCCATTTGCCTATAGTTTATGCGACGGTGCTAAGCACACAATGGGTCTAAGCATTTATTTTAGGGCAAGAATACATTTTCGGGCGAGCATACATTTTGGAGCGAGGATAAATTAATCTTTGTTCTATAAAACAGAAGTTAATTTATTTCCTCAGTCCAACCAATATGTGGCTTAAGGCGCATCCTACACAGACACCTGAGAATGTATCGTCGAATAGGTTTTTTAAAACTTTGGCGACACCACACACCACATGAAACAAAGTTTCGCTTTATTTGTTTACCAAGGTTACCCTGTTGCGCTCAAAGGGAATTATCGCGAGAGAGTGGTCGAAGTAACATAATTTCTGTTAGGTTACACGCATGACTTGATTAAGTTAGTAATGTGACCTGAATTTGTCACCAAAAGTTTACCGGGTAAAATTTACCATAAAATGATTCTATTGAGGTTATATTCTACATTAACAAAAGCGTGGTAAAGCAAAAAGAAAACGGTCAGTTTTTGCGGGAACAGTTAGGTAAGCTAAAGCATAAAATAAGTTGTATTTACTGAACCAAATAAATTAATGCGGTTTTGTTTAAAATTTTTTTTCACTGCGTTAAAAGAAACCCGGAAAACAAAGTTCGGCGTTTAAGCACCGATATAAGAAGACCAAAGCGATCAAAACAAGAACAAAACGCATATTTATGTTTTCACAAGTGTACCAGGCTCTTCTCCATCAGTTCTGCAACTCAATCGGCTGTTGAATTTGCCGTCGGTACTGGGAAAGAACCAATAAGATTCCCCATTTGGACGTAACGCCCACAAAAGGAGAGCATTTTGTGGGTGTCAGGTGCAGCACACGCATATTTTGACGTTGCACTTCTAAAGTTGGTACACAATGAATCGAGCGCGACACTTGGAGCACGATCGCCGGTTTCTCCTGTATTCCTCTTGGAATCTGAAGGTTGTCGTGAAGACCACTAATGCAATAGAAGGTGCTAGTTCGGGTTCCCAAAATAAGTGATCAAGTTTGATGCCCGTCAATTCCCTATCTTAGTAGAACGCGATGAAGCACCGACATGGTGTTTGCGCTAACTCTGTCTAGCGATGAGACAGAAACAAATGGTTATGAAATACTATGCAATATGACCGCCTTAGAATAATAAAAAAAATCAAGAGCGCGACAACAATATTTTGTTTGGAGGGAGACCTAGTTGATACAGAATAATAACTACGTCTTAACTACATTGGGAGTAGGAAAACGATTCTAATTTTTGTGAACGAGACTGGCTGGGAGGTGAATTACACCTTGCATCTGACGATGCTGTGTAAGGAGTTGTAAAAACATTTCACAATAAGAGGCTAATTCGTTTTATATATCTGCACATTAAGACAAAGGAAGAACTCAAAAGGATGCACCATAGAAATCTCAAACTCGTAGCCGAACTATCTTCTAAAGTACTCTGCTTCTTCATGGTTGTAGCTCTTAGATGAGCTCAAATGAGATGGACATTTCAAGTGGGGCTGCCACAGTTCCTAACAGTTCGTTCCTAACGCGCCAAGGCTCGTTCACACAGTTGCGTTCCAGTGCAACTGCAGCCACTTGTGCCTGCTTACGTCGAGCTGTTGCTATGGCGACACTTACGACGAGCCAATGGGGAGGCGCTGTGCTGCACGACGCAACGCAGCGCAACGCAGTCGACGTAAATATGTGAACCAGCCTCTGGTATCGAACACAGTTTCGGAGCGACACTGTCGTTTCTCCATTGCCTGACGTCCGGCCCAGCTGCTTATTTTGTCGACGTGCTTCCACCACAAGTGAACTTGCATTCCATTGCAAAAAATGCACATGCAGCGGAAGCACAGTTGAATACAGCACACACACACACACACACACGCACACGCACACGCACACGCACACGCACACGCACACACACACACGCGCGCGCGCGCGCACACACACACATGGTGTTTTCCCGTGCCTGTGATTAGGGAAAAATCATTTATTTCTCATGACAGATACCACTTTGAGACAGTGAGCATGACCTTTGAGATATCCTTGCATAGTTTCTCTTCTTAACCTCCTACCATACTTCGTCTCATCCTACGATGAACTAAAGGCCGAAGCTACGGGCCGCCCAGGTCCAATCACGTTCCACGCTAAACTATGACATGCTTAACATTGATTAAGGATGCACGAATAATGTCCCTAATCAAAATGCGCTGCATTATTTCTATAGCTTCGACACTGCAAAGAGCCTGTACGTCATGGTTTTCTTTGCAATGTAAAATTGATGAGTCACTCAGTAACGTTCATCGAAGCGAAATACCAGGCAATTTCTAAGTGGCTCGTGATTGGATCTGGTGGTTCGTAGCTTCTGCCTTTTAGTCCATCGTGGGGTGAGACGAAGTATATTAAGATAAAATAAAACTTAAGACGCATAATATTTAAACTGTCTACATTGCACCTTTTACTTTTTTTTTTTTTTTTTAGTTCAAGAAATTCTTCAGCTTCCCTTTAAGGCGTGCTAGTTTTCATTAGCCATCGTTATCGGCTGGGCGTGCTCCACCGGGAGTAGAAATATGTCCTTCACGTGCTGTTCGGGGAAAGTAGACGCTGACAATTCCGAGAGAATAGGATGTTTGAAAGCCGATTCTTTTGTTCTAACTGGTGTTTTCGGTGAATTATATGCACCGATGACCTTTCAAAACTTTTAGGCGTCTACGACGAGCCAGAATGCTCCAGCGAAAGGTTTGACCATGGTGTGCTGGCAGTTGGCTACGGCAACCTGGGTGGCAAGGACTACTGGCTGGTGAAAAATAGGCGAGTTCTCTTCGCTTCACAGTTTACTTTATGGTGGGATGCGTGCGGCGACACGATGCTGTGGTAAGATATCAATTTTATGTGGAGTTTCAGTATGACTACTGTCAGTCTCGAGTGCGAGCTTTCTGCCTTTGATAACGCTTGGCAGCACACGCAGCCGAATTCCGGTGGAAGGCAACGAGCAGCTGTTCTTGGCGGAGCACCTACTGGGTTCTTATCTTAGCCCTGTCACCGACTATGCTCCGTTCCCCCTTAAGCTGAGACTAGAAGCTCTGCCTTTAGCGCAAGCTTTCTGCACTTTCTAACACAAGTGTGAACGCGCAGGCACGTGCAACCAAAGCACTGCGGAAGCCAGCGAGCTCGCACTGAAGGCGGAACTTCTAGTCTCAGCTCATGTTATATAAGGGTACTGACTGGACGTCATATTAGAGTGCACTGTTTATTTGGAATGCTCAGAACGAGCTCACACTTATAGGTTTCCAATACCGGCAATCGTGATTGTATAGAGTGCACGTTGCAAAGGCACTAGAAAAGCTCGACGTCAACACGCGCTGAACATCTATGCACTCGGATATGGCATCCCGTTCAGGCTCGGCACCATAATATAGTGAAAAAAAAAAAAAGAGTGGCTACAAGGGAGTCTGAATTATAGGTGACGCTGTGTCCACCTTGTTCCCTACACAGCGCGGTGTTTACCCGGCGTGACTTCTGTGGACTAGACTGTTGACGTCATCTCCCTCGACTGAGGGCGCGGCACAGATTGGACGCGCTGTGTGAGTGTTGGTCTGACACTTGCGTTCGGTCCATGCTTCACTAGCCGAACACGAGCCCCAGCCGAATACTGAAGCAGCATTCGGCTAGGCTCGTCAAACGCTTCTGTAACAAAACAAACAAACAAGCAAAAAAAAAAACCGAGTAATTTACGTTTGTGTTTTATATACTATGGTGCGTGCAACGCGTCTTCGACCGGTGTCTTGAGCTTCCAGTTCCGCCCACGCTACGAAAGATAGAAGTAGCAACAAGTGACCCCACAAAAAGCGGAGTGTTATGCGGTCGAATGTCGCGATCCTTGCGGTTGGTCTTAGAAGTTCCGGCAAAAAGCACGAGAAAACGCGTGTGTAGCTGACTCGCCGTCGTCGCGGCGTCCCAACTCCTGGCTTGCCGAAGCTTCAGGGTACTGTCAAGCTGGAGAGCGAGCTGCCGGCGGAACAGTCGTCTGCCACGTCCACCCCCGCTGCTGAGACACCGCCACCAGGATCGCAGCCGGTGATAGCCTGACACTCCTATGACGTCATCAAGTGGAAATCGAGGGACCGCGTTGTTATTTTTGGACGCTGTAAACACACCAGTCGGAGACGCGTTCTATGCAGGCACCATATTCATAGGGCCGAAGTGAGCAGATGGCGTTACTGATACCCTGGGAGACACATAGGGCGTGGCGAAACCCGAGAGTCTTATTATTGTTCTGCAGCCAATCCAATGGCGAAATTATTCAATTAAAAAAAAATTCGATGAATCAGTTACGAAGCAAGAAGCGTGAGCATATTAAGTCACACTCCGCATTTCTTAATTCGTCACTGTCTATTGGGGCGTGACTGCTCATGGGTATCTTGTCCCAAAGGTTGATTGAATGGTGGCGCCGATTTATAATGTCTACCCACTTGTATTGCAGCTGGGGAGCTGACTGGGGGCAGGAAGGCTACATCCTGATGAGCCGAAACAAGAAAAACCAGTGCGGAATCGCAAGCAACGCCAGCTACCCACTGGTGTAACTTTTTTTATGTGCACATTTATGTTTGAGGGATGACACTTATTTTTTTTTAGATATACCCCTTAAGAATATTGTATGCAAGTAGAGGGCCTTTAAGTAACTAAATGTTTCGCTCTCGTGCTCCACGAGGTAGTAGAGAGTTTTAGCAAAACGTTCCGATACCTCTAATAACGACACCCGATACTCCGCGCACGTCTTTGCGCATGCATCGTATCGTTATCGGGTACCGTTATCGAGTACCGTTATCGGGTACCGTTATCGAGTAACGTTGTCGGGTACCGTGATCGGAGGTATCGAAATGATCTACTAAGAATCTCTAATAAGAGCGTTCATGTTGTACGTTGCTTTTCTTGATCTGCAAATAAAAGAAGTTCATACAGATTGGTTTGCCTTCCTTTGTACATACCCATAATATCAATATTTTGGGGTGACTCCTCTTTCTATCGGTTAAAATTCGAGCAAGAAAAATAACATTACCGTTTATACTCGTCGACATTTTTCTGCAGCATACCCGACGAGCGGGGGAGTGCGTCTGGAGAGCTTTGATCCGCGCTAAAGCACGCTCTACTGCACTTTTGACGGCAAGCCACAGCAAGTTGTCCACGGGTATAGTGCAGCGTTTGACTACAGGCGATTTCATTTCAAATCGTGCAAGCGAAAAAAATAATGTCTCAAAGTTTTCTGAAAAAAAAGAAGAAATGAAATAAAACATGTACGCTGGGCTAATTCTTTACTAGGACAAAACTAAAAACCGATTTGGCGCCATATTTTTAGTTTCTGAGTTTTTGACTTGCAAAGCACTAAAGACGGATTTTGGCATTCGAGCGATAGCGTCTCAGGTCGCGTATTTAGGAGCTTCTCCATGCTCGGATACCAACCGCACAACAGAACCCTTCACATGCCTTTTTAAACTACATTAAAAGCGATGGATATTCATAAAAGCTTTTTATGTTTTCTTTTGTAAGAACTTCAAAACATGCATACTTTGGCGATAGTTTACTATGTTTAAATGATGATAACTTCTCTAACAATAGAGTGTATGACAAAAATTTTGTATCAAATGAAAGCTGGAACAGATACCTATTCAACGAATTGTATTCAAAAGCAAAATGCCTTTGAATACAAGAGGAAACTTTGAAAATCCAAATTTCAACTTAAATTTATTTTAAAAAGGTCATTTTTAATATTTGTTTTCGTGCAAAGAGCCCTTAGATTGATTTAAGACATCCAATAAAGATCAGATGTAATATGAGGCTCGGACATAAATATCCGTATACTTAAATATACGAAATGTTTCAGTTCTTTTATAAGATGCGAAGCTTGGTTGACAATAATAATAATCCATGGAGAAGGGGAACAAAGGGGACAAAGAAAAAACACGTCTTCTTTGCCCCCTCTTGTTCTGCCTCTCAAAGGATTATTATTATCGTTATTCTTGTCCAGCTCGCCTGCATCTTTGCATTAATTGCCTTATTATCACAAGCTTGGTCGTCGTCATTTGTGTGCCTGTTAATTAATTCCTGGTACCTTGTCAGAAAATTAATTTGCTTTAATTTAACACACAATTAGATAAAGTAAGGCTGCTGCGTAGAGGGGATGTTGTGGTTAATATATGACGGTTCTCCTACACATGCCCATTTTGTTAACTTAAAAAAAAACTGGAATCACAATTAAATAGATTCCTTAAATTTTCTCATGAGAATTAAAAGCCTTAGATACATACCTCCAAAAATTTATGCAGAATGATAAAGTAATTGGGTAAAACAAAATATTTTCGATGTGCCGGTGGCCTAACACAAAATTTCAGCGTTTTCCAACTCTTGAGTTTCCACGCAAACTTAGTCTTGTAAGAAATTAGGCTTGTTTAAACCTCGGTATAATAACAGCGGAAAAAGACGAAGCACCAGACGAAAAAATAACACGGACGCACCGCAGCGTCTGTGTTACTTCTTCGTCTGGTCCTTCGTCTTTTCGCGCTGTTTTTAACCTCGAACTATGTACCAACTCGCCTAAGCCTCGAATTTAGCATTGTCTAATCCTACTGATATTCGTTGTTTTCTTTTCTTTAGAAAAAAGAAAGCTTGCATAGAGAGTGGGAAAGTTCATGCAATTACATAAAATATCTGGTAACGCAAGTTCACATCACGTTTAACGTGCCCTAAAAACGTCATTAACGCGGGTTACGACGCTATTGTCGATGCTAAGCTATTTGTTTACCATAGTATTTAAATATTTGTCCTAGTTTCGCGCTTTCGTCCATAATTCATAACTGGAATGACAGCATTTCTTTCTTTTTTCTTAGCGTCGAGGTAGTGAAACATACGTTCTGTGACGGCTCGCGAGGAGAGCCAGGTGTGTGTCGCGGCTTGTGAAGACCGCCCAAGCATCAACTTAAGCCTTTTTGTACAACCGCAGATCGATAAAACTTTAAACAACTGGACGTCCTGATGACTTCATTGAAATAGTCGCCCCGGAAGCCTAAAATTATTCTTCCGAGAGGTGATGCAGCACATATGGCCTACTGTTGCGACGAAAAAGAGAGCAATATGCTCCTAATTTTGTCAACAACATTCGGTACGCGAAGTTGTGTACGAAAACTCGAAAGAACGATGGTTCCCTAATTTTATGCTAAAACGATTTGCTGCGCGTTTTAGAGTGAACCTTCAATCCATTTTGTCGTCGCTTTGTGCTGAAAATTAACGTGAAGTTGCGTTATTAGATATTTTGTCATTGTAGGTACAGTGCTCTTCAAACTTAATGCGGCCACTCGGTTACCCAAATATTGTTTTATTGCCGGCTACGCAAAGCTAAACTGGTCACTGCAGCAGCTGGAACGTCTTCACCATGCTAGGTTGTGATCGGAGATCAAAGTGACACCCCGCAGATGGACCGGCACGTCCCGGAATAATACTAAGAGTGACGGAAAGGGACCATCTCATAACGGCGTTAAGTTTGGGAAACACTGCACTTCCCCACGGTCTATACGAGCTTTTCTTTTTAAAGCATGGCATGCTTTTTAACGATACCCCCATCTCAAGATTTTGAACGTCCGCCCGTCAGTCCGTCCGTGTGTTTCCTGCTAAATTTAGCGGGGAAACTGAATAGGTCACGTGACGTCACCTAAGGTTCTGTTTTACGCCGACGTTGAGCACAGCGAACGCAGCGTATCGCAGCAGTCATGGGTAAGTTACTTTTAAAAAGTAATTCGTTACAGTTACAGTTACTTTCAGAAAAAAAGTTGCGAAGTTACCGTTACAGTTACCGCAACAAAAGTGTAACTCGTTACAGTTACAGTTACTTTTAAAAAGTAACGACGTTACTTTTCAGTTACTTTTCTATAACACAAAAAAGAAATTTAGAAGAAACTAGAAAATGCCCCTCACAATGTTTTATTGCATAAAGCTAAAAAGTACGCTTTTTACTTCATATTGTAACTTAGCAGCAGTTGCTTCTTGAAGTTAGTGTTTGAAAGTTTCCACGCCAGAGTAGTGGCGCAAATCAAGATACAAAACATGCGCAGTGCTGAGTAGTGGCGCTAATCAAAACACGAGACATGCGCAGTGCCCTCCACGTATATTGCTGTTTCACGCTTGATTCACCCGATTAAAAAGCGTTTACACAGAAAGAAAAAAACCACAACATAGATAGTACTTCAAGACACTAAGATGTAAGTGTTCAGTCACAAAGCACAAGCGTGTGCGTAAAGATAACTAGATATTTTTTTATAAAATCTACACGTGGCTATATTCGGGTCGTGACTCGCGAGAAAGAACGTATTCACAACTTTGTGCAAGGCCATTTTGACACTCGAAATGTCGGAATAGACGATTTGGAAAGTGTAAGGAATGGCTGAATTGCACCCTCGTTCAGTGATATATTATTCATAAAACACTGGAAAGTAACGACAAAAGTAACGTCGTTACTTTCATCGTTTCCTCAGAAAAAAGTAATAGAACTACAGTTACAAGTTACGTTTTAAAAAAGTAACTCGTTACAGTTACAAGTTACCAAAAAAGTAACGAAACTACAGTAACGCGTTACTAGTAACGCGTTACTACCCAAGACTGATCGCAGTACGTGCGCCTTTCATTGGCCGGGAAGCATAACTCGATATCTGCGACCAATCAGTATCTGTGTGCGCTGCGCAACGCCGCGTTTGCTAAGCTTGAGGTCGGAATATGACAGAGCCACTAATGTCACGTGACCTATGTAGCATTTTAGTTTTCCCGCTAAATTTAGCGGGAAAATTGATGTCACCTGGGCTATACACCAATTCAATTTCCTTGCTAAATTTAGAGGAGAAAATTGATGTCACGTGACCTCACGTTACGTAACTTATACACCAATTCAGTTTCCCCGCTAAATTTAGCGGAAAAATTGATGTCACGTGACCTGACGTGAACTATACAGCAATTCACTTTCTCCGCTAAATTTGGCGAAAAATTTAGTCATGGGACCTCATGTCCCGAGACCTATTCGCGCTATTCCCGGCGAGAACCACACTAGGGTGCGCCACTGAGCAGCACGTACATGTCACTTGATTTTCAATTTTCCCCTCAATTTTCAAACCTACAAAAAAAAAAAATATAAAGCCAAGGTTAGTTACAACGTCAACAATGCGTAGCAAAAAAAAAACACCTTCAAGACTTGGTTTCCTCGGAGGATGGTCCCCAAAATCTTATCCTGTACACAGATGCTGCGCTTGAGCCTTCCGGGGTCAGCGCTATTGCATTTCATTTACTTATAGAAGGTCAAACAGAGAGCCAAATGGCGGCCCTGGCTCCTAGCCCCAAGACGGCAAAGCTCTTGGCCATCCGCGGCGCATTAAATTCTAATATAAATCATCACGGCAAACAAGTCCACGTTTTTAGCGACTCCAAGGAGGCGATACGGGAATGTAAGCGATTGACCAGTCGCAATCGCATCGTTCACAAAATCGAGGGACTCGCTAAGACCCCAGGGGCCCATGGAAATCAGGTCAAACTCACATGGATCCCCGGCCATACCGATAACCCGGAGAACGAGGAGGCTTACTCGGCCGCGAGGGATT